AGGTGTATGCCACCACACCTGGCACTGGTAATTAATTTTCACCTGGCCTTGGACATTTGATCCTGTAAAAGGGGATAGAATCCAGGCAGTTTGGAAATGTTGCAGATCCAGAGCCTAGTCACAAAGCTGGGGACATCTTTGACCTCCTAAATAGCCACCCCTGGCCAAACTCAGTTTCTGAATGAACATTCTTGTGACTAATAAAAAGTACTACTTTAGCAGACCACTATATCCCACCAACCAAAAAGCTAAGAATGCCATCAGGCCTTTAATCCCAGCACTTGGAAGGCAGAGGCAGAGGCAGGTGGATCTCTGTGAGTTCATGGCCTGCCTGGTCTACATAGTGAGTTCCAGGCCAGCTGGGGCTACAGGGAGACCCTGTCTCAAAAAGACCAAAAAGAAAAAAAAAATGTCCAACAGACAGCATCTGAGACCTATAGTAGAACCCCCCCCCAACCTTTGCTAGGACCTGCCTACTGATTGCATCTAACAGTGTCCTGATTTATGAGTTTTTCTGTTCAGTTACTATAAAAAAGGTAATGTAGCTGTTACCACGTTGAAACATGGAATTTGGGGTAACTTGAATCTGTGTCCCCTGGGCCATGGTCACTCATATTTGGCTCCAGAATAAACTCTCCCTTATCCCCCTTGAGGTGAGTTATGATTTTGCGTGGACACTGGGAAAGGTGCCTGGCAAAAGGTTCTGTCAATGTTAACTCCACCCGCATCGTTTTAAAAAAGAAATCGTGTGGTAAAATCAGATTTACCACAGTGATCACTTTGGGAAGCTCTTCCCGGGAGCCGCAGAGGGTCTCAGAGGGGGGTCCAACTTCGCGGCATGCAGGTCAGGCCATCAGGCTGGCAAGTGCGGAATGGGGGTGCCCCAGGAGTTAGGGACAGCCGGCCGGAGGCTGCTCCTCCCGACCCACCCTCCGGGGATCGCATCCCAGATTACAAGGCAAACCACTTTGCTGGGGCGCGCCCGCTCCTCTTCCTCCGAGGCTGGACCGGGAAGGTGAAGCCCTCCCGACCCCAGCTGCGCCCCTCTCTCGGCTGCAGGGGTCCCCGGGGACCACGGGCGCCCGGGAAGGAGGCCCTGCGCCCCGGACAGCCGCAGCGGAGGGCACGCGGGCGACCTCCCCCACTAACCTGCGAACCCTGAGCCGAGCCGGAGCAGCACGTGCGGCTGCAGCGCGGTGCGAGCTCTTAAAGCCGCCTGGGCCGGCCCTGCGGCGCACGATCCCCAGGCCCCGCCCGGGCCTCCCTGGCGCTGCGCCCAGGCCACCCACCCCCACCCTATGGACGCCCACCGCCAGCCCACACCCACACCTGGGAGGGAGCAGCCCCACCTTCACCCCCTGCACCGGGGTGCGGCCCTGCCGGAGCTGCCACTGTCCCCGCACAGGGAAGCCTTCTGGACTTGCAGATGGAAAGTTCTGCAGGAAAAGCGGCCTGAGTTTGGAGATGTGGCCTAGCGACAAAACACCCAGGTCCAGGTAAGTGGCTTTCGAGGGTGGGATCGCAGAGCGAGGTCACCTACGGGAGCAGGATTGGAACTTCGGAGTGGCAGCCCCCCACCCACACCTGCTGAGTCAGGCTCCCTGGGGAGCCCGCTGATGGCCTCTGCTCTTTGACGCTCGCAATAGTTTGACATGGACCTGGGGACGTAAACTGAAGTTACCAAAAGAAAAGACACCAGCAAAACCAGCGCCAAAGTTAAACATTCCACAAGGCTGACCGGCGACAAATTGTGAACAGTGGCAATAGTGCAGGTTGGGACGCGAAATTATCTGGGGCAATCTCGGCCCCTAAATAGCCATTTATTGCTCACCTCCGTGTGTAACATCCAAGTGACTACCAGGTTAATCCTTTTGGAATGCACAAACCGACCCCTGGCTTCCAGCACTCCAGAGGCTAAGGAAGTCATCAGATAACACCGAGGGCTGGCACAGGGATTTCCTCTCCGCTGCAGCCTGTTGTGACATTCCCACCACTGGATTTTTGAAATGTCTTAATTTAGAATTTTTCTTTGTTCTGTACTATAAAAACTTAATGAAAATGTTCCCATATTGGAATATGGTATTTGTAACCTGAATTGTGTTCCTGGACCATGGTCCCTCATATCTGGTCCCAGAATAAACTCTATTCACTTTGAGCTGAGAGCTTTGTTTTTGTGTGGTCACACTGAATAAGCCTCCTTCACCATAGCTCTGCTTTTCACTCTATCTCTTTAATTTAAAAAATATTTTACTTACTATTTTTATTTTATGTGTAAGTGCACCCATGTCATGCAACGCCCTCAGAGGTCAGAAGAGGATGTTAGATTCCCCTGGAACTGGAGCTACAGAAGGTTGTTAACCACTATGTGGGTTCTGGGAATCGAACCCGGGTCCTCTGCATGAGTACTCAGTGCTCTTACCCACTGAGCCACCTCTCCAGCCCCAATTTTTTTATTTTAATTTTATGTGTATGAGTGTACTGCCTGCATGTGTGTAAGTGTACCCATGTCATGTAATGCCTTTGAGGTCAGAAGAGGGTGTCCCTGGAACTGGAGTTACAAACAGTTGTTAGCCGCCATGTGGGTGCTGGGAATTGAACCCTGGACCTCTGGAAAAGCAATCACTGCTCTTAACCTCAGAACTGTCTCCCCAGCCCCTATATCTCTTTGATTGGTGTATTGAGGTGGCCAGGGTTGAGGCTTTAACCCTAAAAATTCCAGTAATACAAAGTCAAGGTTTCCAAGCACTAGGGGCTTGGTAGTCACAGTGTGATCCCAGGGTAAAGCAGCTTTCCCAAACCCAAACTGAAAATATCTACCCCCCCACCCCCGTAACAAAACCTGGAAGTAATCTGTGCCCTCCATAGGGTGGGGAAAACAGCTATCAGGTCTCTTCCACCACCTCTGAAGTGATAGGTGCTGATTTCCCAAGGACCTGGAAGGCCTCTGGTCTGTGGCCACCTACGACCTAGTGGGTTTGAATCCTAAGTGGGTGGCTAAGAGGCTCTGAGGTCAGTCCCACTCAGGGACCACTCTGCTGTGGTCAGTCCCACTCAGGGGCCACCCTGCTGTGGGCCTCTGGGCTGTAGACCCACACTGGGCTCTTGCTCCTGCCAGCCTGGCTCTCCAGGTCAGTGTCTGCCCCACATCCTTAGCTTTCAGTCACCAAAGTACTTTCTGCAAGCCTTAGTAAGGAGGATAGAATTGCCCTCCGTTTCCAGTGTGAGGCTTTGGCTCTCAGAGCACAAGCCCAAACGATAAACAGTGAACAGACATCTTCCAGTCCATCCTGATCTAGAGAACTGAAAGGGAGCTGGAGAGATGGTTCAGCCTCTAAGAGCACTGGCTCTTGCAGTGGACCCTGGCTTAGTTCCCAGCACTCACATACAGCTAATGACCATCCTTAACTCCAATTTCAGGGTATTTGATGCCCTCTTCTGGCCTCCTTGGGTATTGCACAACATGGGTGCACTTTGCATGCAAGCAAAACACTCACAGCTCTTAAAAAGAGCCAGGTGTGGTGGCACAAGCCTTTAATCCCAGCACTTGGGAGGCAAAGGCAGGTGGATCTCTGTGAGTTCGAAACCAGCCTGGTCTACATAGTGAGTTCCACCTGTCTCAAAACAAACAAACAGAAAAACAAGAGTTAAGTGAGGGCTGGGGCTGGGCTGAGTTGGTAGTGGTTGCCTAGTGTGTACACAGCTCTAGTTGTGATCCTTAACACTGAGTAAAATCCTGCGGTGGTGGCACATGCCTGCAATCCCAGCACTAGGGAGAGAGACAGGAGGATCAGAAGTACAAGGTTGCCAGGCATGGTGGCGCACAGCTTTATTCGCAGCAGGCAGATCTCTGTGAATTGAGGTCGGCCTGATCTATATAGTGATTTCCAGGCCAGGCCAGCTGAGGCTACAAGGAGACCCTGTCTCAAAAAGACCAAAAAAAGAAAAAGAAAAAAAAAGAATTTTAAAAGCATTTTAAGATACATAGCAAGTTCACATGGTGGTGCATGCCTTTAATCCCAGCACTCAGGAGGCAGAGGCAGGCAGATCTCTGTGAGTTCAAGGCCAACCTGGTCTACATAGTGAGTTCCAGGACAGCTGGGGCTACAGAGAGACCCTGTCTCAAAAGATCTGCCCCATAAAAGTCCACCATCAATGAAGATACAATTTTAGAAGAATATCACAATGTACAACTGCTTTCCTCCTCTCCCTCCTCCTCCTCTTCCTTCTCCTTCTCCTCCTCCTCCTCCTCCCTCTTCCTCTTGCTGCTCCTTTCCTCCTCCCTCTCCTCCTTTTTCTTCTTCCTCTCTCTCTCTCTCTCTCTCTCTCTCTCTCTCTCTTTCTTTCAAGTCTGTAGCTCTAGCTGGCCACAATCGAAACAACTCTTTCTTACAGAATTTCAACTGGAGGCTGAAGGGATGGTACATGATCGCAGAACACTTACTGCTCTACCAAAGGACTCAGGTTTGGTTCCCAGCACCCACATGGTGGCTGACAACTGTCTGTAACTCCAGTTCCAGGGGATCCAATGCCCTCTTCTGGCTTCTGAGGGCTTGCATGACATAGGTGCACTTATGTGCAGGCAAAACACCCATACATGTAAAATAAAAGTTAATTTTTAAAGAAATTTAAAAAGAGCCGGGCCTGGTGGCACATGCCCATCACTTGGGAGGCAGAGGCAAGCAAATCTCTGAGATCGAGGCCAGCCTGGTTTACATAGCAAGTTTCAGGCCAGCTGGAGCTACAGGAAGATCCTGTCTCAAAAAGACCAAAAAAAAAAAAATTTTTTTTAAAGAATTTCAATTAAATGCAAATATCAAACAAAATCACTGAAGGAACATCTGGACTGTCATTCCTCAAGCAATTGTCCACAGGCTAAACAGTGTCTGGGAGACCTAGGAAAAACAGATTTGCCCAGTCTCAAAGCATTTCTCTCCCAACAAATGTTACTTCACAGTGAAGAAAATTGGCAATCTCCATCTTAGCATGTGACACGGACTCACCGCACAGCATGTACCACCTTGATGTTTCCTCAAATCCAGCAATATGCAGCCTTGGTCTCAGGAGAAAATATCCCACCATCTGCATGGAAGAACAGACCACAAACAGACTAAGTCACAAAACCAAGGCAGAGGTGCTGTCTGATTAGAGAAGTGTGAGGCAGGGTGAGTAGCATAGGAAGAAAAAAAGGCATTAGTGGAAAAACTGGTGAAACCTGTAGTTTTATTCATGGGATTGCCCCAGTTAGTTTCTCAGTGTTGAGAATTGTCCTGGGGTTATGCGAGATGATATCAGGGAAGCAAGATGATGCGGCATAGGGGAACTCGGTGATGTTTTGCAAGCACTCCCCTACAGAGCACAGTCCCAGCTGCTCTTAGTCTATTTTTCCAGTTCCCTTTGTAAGTACAAAATGGTCTTTAAAAAAGGATGTTGGGGGGAGTTGGAGAAATGGCTCAAATGTTAGGAGCACTGACTGCTCTTGCAGAGGACCTGGGTTCGATTCCTAGCACCCACATGGCAGCTAACAACCATTCACAACTCCAGTTCCAGGGGATCTGACCCCCTCTCCTGATCTCTGGCATTACACGACACGGGTGCACCTATATACGTGTAGGCAATACACACTCATACACATAAAAATAATAAGGGCCTGGAGAGATGGCTCAGCAGTTAAGAACACTGATTGCTCTTGCAGAGGACCTGGGTTCGATTTCCAGCACCCACATGGCGGCTACGATCTGTCCTAAACTCCAGTTCCAGGAGAATCCAAAACCCTCTTCTGACCTCCACAGCATTGCATGACACAGGTGAACTCACATACATGCAGGCAATACACTCATACACATAAAATAAAAATAATAAAATATTTAAAAATAATATAATAATAATAGAATATTTTTAAAAAACAGGTTGTGATGCTACATGCCTGTAATCCCAGCACTCACTCGGGAGGTGGAGGCAGGAGGATCAAAAGTTCAAGGTCATCCTAAGATACATATCGAGTTGGAGTCCAGCTTGGCCTACATGAGACCCTGTCTCAAAAAAAATAAATAAAACCTTAATAACGAAAAATACATGCAATAAAATTTGTCAATAAAAATTGCACTAATGGGGTTGGAGAAATGGCTCAGTGGTTAAGAGCACTGACTGCTCTTTCAGAGGACCTGGGTTCATTTCCCAGCACCCACATGGTGACTAACAACCACCCATAACTCCATTCCAGGGGATCCAACTCCCTCAATGTCCCTGCACCTCCAGCTTGCAGATCTTGGGCCTTAAACTCCACAGCTGTACAAACCAGTCCCTTGTCATCTCTCTTATTGTCCAGAGTGCCCTAAGTCATTCAAGTGCTGCTCAGCACCCATGAGAATTTGCGCAGCCATGCCCCCAACCCTGGCTTGGATGCTAAAATCCTTGGGTGCTGAAGTCTCTTATATGAAATGGCATGTTTGCATATAACTCACATCCTTTTTATATGTTAAAACTTCTTGAGATTTAAAATGCCTAATACAATGTAAATGGTGGTTTGGTTATACTGTTTAGAGAATGACATGTTCAGTATAGATACAATTTATTTTAAATTCATTGTTGGTTGAATCTCTAGATGTGGAACCGTCAGACAAAGGATCTTCAGGGATTTGGTCTCTGCTGGGGGAGGAGGGGTACATGGAGGGGTACAGTATCCCTAGGGTACTGAGGGATGACTGATTGTAGTTAAGATGACATCATTACAGAGGAGTTTGATTTAATAAGACTGGAGACTAAAAGAGATATATTTGGACACGGAAACACATAGAGGGTTTTATCCATATGCTGATTAACAATCAGTTAATGCTTCTATAAACCAAAGAATGTCAAAGGTTTGCTGCCAAAAAGCTATGAAAATCTGGGTGTGGTGGCACACAACTTTAATCCCAGCCCTCAGGGAGCAGAGGCAGGTGGACCTCTGTGAGACTGAGGCCAGCCTGATCTACATAGTGAGTTCCAGGCCAGCTGGGGCTACAGGGAGACCCTGTCTCAAGAACAACAAAAAGAGCACTGTAAAGGTAAATGGGGCTCCTGGCGTGACTCCTGTGGCTCACAGGAGATGTTGAAATCAAGCAGCTCCAACTTCTTTTAGCTCTTCATTGTGACATGGGGGTTATGGATTTGTTGCTCATAAACTTTAGTAAGCATTTTCTTTTCTAATATTTATTATTTTTATTTTTTATGTGTATGAATATACTGCCTGCATGTTCATAAGTGCACCTCTGTCATGCAATACCTGCAGAGGTCAGAAGAGGACATTGGAACTGGAACTGGAGTTAAGGACCATTGTTAGCCACCATGTTGATGCTGGGGATTGAACCCTAGTACTTTGCAAGAGCAGCCAGTGCTCTTATCCATTGAGCCATCTCTCTAGCCCCATAGAAACATTTTCAGTACCCTCAGAAATAACAAAATTTTAGCCACGATTAGTGGTATATGCCTTTAATCCCAGCATTTGGGAGACAGAGGCAGGCAGATCTCTGAATTTGAGGCCAGCCAGGACTACATAGTGAGACCCTGTCTCAAAAATGATTTTTTTTTTTTAATGTTTTGGATTAGGATTGTGGCTCTGATCCCAAATCCAGGAGCTGCTGCCAGGAACACAGGGGAGAGGGCAATTAAATCCCATACGCTTAATGGGGTTACTGATAGTCACATGGGTTATACAATGTAACTAAAAAGAGGTCAGCCATGCAGAAGCGTGAACCACAGCTATGTTATAAATGTGGGGGTATGTTGTGGGTATGTGAAGATTTGTTAAAGGTTGTCCAGAGGCTAGAAAATCTTTTACTGGCTCTGAACCCAAACTGAGCGCCCAGAGAGGAGGGCGTGGCCACTTTGCATAATAAAAGCTATGCCCCAGGCAGGGGAAGAAGAAAAGGCCAGGGAGGTCCTGGCAGATCCAGTTGCAGAGCTTGAGAGAAAAAAAAAATTCAGACACTTTGACTTAGGTAAGGTCCAAGGACTCAGAGGAAAAGACAGAGAATAGTAAAAAAGAAAATGACCTAAAAATAAAAGTAGCTAAGGCTGCCCCTCAGATTCAACTGTTGATGCAAAAGGAAAAAAAAAAAAAAAAAGCCTCAGGCGCCTGCGGACGCAGAGTCCCGCTCGGGTCAGGACTTGCGTGCCGGGCTTAGTTTGGGGGGGCTTTTTATAGAGCAGAAGCAAGGTACAGAAGCAGATGCATGGTTACAAGATTATTATTAGTGCATTTCAATGGGTACAAGGTATGAGGAAACAGTATTGCCAAATTCAGAGGGGGCTATGGGTGAAACTGATTGTTATCGTTAACTTCCCAGTAGGGGCTGTTATCACTAACTTCCCGGTAGGGGCCTCAGGGTGGTGGCAGGTGGTCCGACTGCAAATGTCCTATCTTCCACTGCTAGTTTCACAAGACCTGGGTTAGAATCTTGGCTTATCGAATGGCTGATTACAGTTCTTTTTCTAAAATGGCCTTCCTGCTGTCAGTCGGGTCTTTCAAATGGTTTTACTAAGCCCTTTGATGGAACAGGATCTTTGTATAGTGAGAGAGGCTTTGGCAAATCTAAATGATTCTGAACAGCACGTAAAACATGTCTGTAAAATAACAGAACACCCTGTAAGAGATATAAAAAAAGACCAGACTAAAGAAATGTTCCACTTGGGTTACTCGAACACAAATGTGGTAAGACTTATGTCAAGCCCAAATTCCCAGAGAAAAAATTGATAGAAAACCAAATTCGGTATTAAGGCATTTCTGGAAGGCTTTAAAACCAGAAAATTGGTTTACAAAAGACATCCAAACAATAAAAACTGTCCCAGGGGTGGTTAAAAATCCCCAAGGATTAAATAAGATGCATTTCTCTTCTGATAAAGACTATACTAGCAGTGGAAGCAGTTTTTCCCACCAAGTTCTCCCCCAGCAACCTGGTGTGGTCAATGGGAAAATGACAGATGTGGCTACAGTCAGGAGGCAGACCCAGGGCCTGCCAGACTCAGGGAACCAACAAGTGCAGCGGGGATAAGAGAAGCCCTCTGCCTCCTTAGTCCAGTACAGGGTCAGGCAACCGGAGCCAACACCTGTAAGTGTATCAAGAATAAAAGAATATAAAGAGACTCCATGTAAAATCCCCCAAGTGTGAAATTACTCCAAAGGGATAGCTAAAAATGGTAAAGAGCTAACCAAATTAATGCCTCATACTCATGCTATGGTACCTAACAAGGATCTATGGAGAAAACAGTTAATATGAATGGACAAAACCTTCCATGCTGTGTGAGACCTTGTCTATGATTGATTTAATATATAATGTTAAAGTTCCTTTGAGTGTTTTACAGATGTGAAACCCATTTGAAAAATGCCTGAAGAAGCAAAGGCCAGGTGTAACTGTAATATTCTTGGGAGTTTTATGTAGGTTGGGTAAGATGAGGACAGAGACTCCCAAATTATACAACTCTTAAGAAAATCTACAGTACCAGAGGTGGGGT